TGAGTGTTGAGATAGGATAGATAGGAAAAACCTGTTTCCCTTGGCAGAGAATTCAAAGAGCAAGCTAAGTGGCAGAAGGATTAGAGGGGATGTGAGGAAAAGATTGTTTTTACAGAGGATGGTGGGTGTCTGGAATTCACTGCCTAAGTAGGTGGCGGAACTCAGAAGCTCTAAACTCTTTTAAAACATACCTGGATCTGCACCTTAAGGGCTATAAGCTGCATGGCTATGGGCCATGTGTGGGAAAATGGGATTAGAAAGGGCATCTGGGTGTCTTTGGGTCGGCATGGACAAGATGGGCCGAATGGTCCTCTTCTGAGCTGTATCACTTGTATGGCTCTATGATTGAATTGCCATTTGTAGAATTTTGCATGAGAAAGTCAGCCAAGGGTCAAAAGTGAAAGCGCATTAGTATAGTCAAGTCTGCAGCTAGTGGTAAAAAAGGCATGAATGAGGGTTAGAGTCATAGAGATCTACAGCACAGAAAAATGCCCTTTGGTCTACTGCATCCATGATTGTCAAAAACAATCACCTAACAGTTCACCCACAGATGATCGGAGGCAGGTTTCCAAACTCCAGAATTCACAGAATTGTTAAGACACAGGAGGAGACAATTTGTCTTGTCATGTCTGCACTGGCAACAATTGTTCATTTATTATTTTTGTAGGTTATTGTCTAATCTTATTTTTATGGTCTTGTTTACTTAAGCAATTGAATTTAAATTTCTCCATGATGTCCTGGAGGGATTTGAACTCTTATCTCTGGATCACTAATCTGGGCAGCTGTGATTGTCGAGCCCAGAAACCCAACTGCCAAGCAGCCTGACTCAGCAGCAAGGTTTAACAAGACAAGGGAGTATATGTTGAATAGTAGGGCCCTGGGAAACACAGAGGATCAGAGGGATCTTGGTGTGCATCCACACATCCTTAAAAGCAACAGGATAGGTTGATAAGGTTCTTAAGAAGGTATATTGTTATAGAGTCATAGAGTTGTACAGCACAGAAACAGACACTTTGGTCCAACTCGTCCATGCTGACCAGATATCCTAAATTAATCTAGTCCCATTTGCCAGTATTTGGCCCATATTCCTGTGAACCCTTCCTATTCATGTACCCATCCAGATGTCTTTTAAATGTTGTTATTGTACCAGCCTCCATCACTTCCTCTGGCAGCTCATTCCAAACATGCACCACCCTCTGCATGAAAAAGTTGCTGTTTTAGTCCCTTTTAAATCCTTCTCACTTTAAGTGTGTGCCCTCTAGCTTTGGACTCCCCCACCCCGGGGAGAAGAACTTGGCTATTCACCCTATCCATGCCTCTCATGATCTTATAAACCTCTATATAAGGTCAGCCCTCAGCCTCTGACACTCCAGGGAAATAGCCCCAGCCTATTCAGCCTCTCCCTATTGTTCAAACACTAGCAACTTGTAACTTGTAAATCTTTTCTGAACTGTTTCAGGTTTCACAGCATCCTTCCTATAGTTATTGCCTTTATTATTCAAAGCATTGAAAGAACTTCTTTTGTATTTCAAAAATACACTTTATTCATAAAAATATCAGTATGCCACCACCACTTCATTAGCAAATGCTGTGTACCAAAGAAGTCAATCCGAATGTTCCTCAACCATAAATCTTGGATGAACCATGAAATCCACTCCCTACTGAAGACCAGACCTGCAGCATTCAAGTCGGGTGACCTGGACCAATACAGAAAATCCAGATATGACCTCTGCCAAGCCATCAGGGAGGCCAAGAGACAATACCGTACCAAGTTAGAGGCCCGGACCTACCAGACTCCCGCTGTCTATGGCAAGGCCTAAACAACACTGCGGGATAAAAAATGAAACAGTGTAAGATAGCAGACAATGACATATCTCTCCATGACACGCCAAATGCTTGCTATGCTTGGTTTGAGCAGAATACCACTGATGTGGCGACACCTGCCAGACAGCCCCAGACACACCTGTTCCCTTTATCACCGCTTCAGAAGTCAAATCAGTCTTCCTGGGAGTCAACCCTGGGAAAGTGATGGGCCTGGATGGTGTCCCTGGCCGAGCACTCAGATCGTGTGCGGACCAACTGGAACAGATATTCACTGACATCTTCAACCTCTCCCTTCTACAAGCCGAAGTCCCCACCTGCTTCAAGGAGACCACCATCATTCCCGTACCCAAGAAAACAGGTGCACAGTACCTTAATGACTACCGCTCAATAGCTCTGACTTCAATAATCATGCAGTGCTTTGAGAGGCTGGTCATAGCCCACATCAGCTCCAGTCTCCCAACCTGTCTTGATCCCCTACAGTTTTCCTACCGACGTAACAGGTCCACAGAGGATGCCATATCCCTAGCCCTGTGCTCATCCCTGGAACATCTGGACAACAAAGACACCTAAGTCAGACTCCTACTTGTTGACTACAGCTCTGCCTTCAACACTATTATCCCCACTAGACTGATCTCAAAACTGTGTGACCTTGGTCTCAGCTCCACCCTCTGCAACTGGATCCTCAGCTTTCTGACCCATAGACCGCAATCAGTGAGGACAGGTAACTGCACCTCCTCCACATAACACTCAACACTGTAGCCCCTCAAGGATGTGTCCTCAGCACCCCCTACTGTACTCCCTGTGCACCTACGACTGTTGCCAAATTCCAAACGATCGCCATCTACAAGTTCGCTGATGACACCACCGTAGGGAGACGGATATCTCATAACGACAAGTCAAAATACAGAAGGGAGAGCTTGATGACTTGGTGCAATGAAAACAATCTGTCTCTCAACGTCAGCAAAACTAAAGAACTAATCATTGACTTCACAAAGAAAGGAGAACATGCCCCCATCTACATCTACGGAACTGAGGTTGTGAGAGTGAAGAGCATCAAGTTCTTGGAGTGACGATAACTGATGACCTGTCCTGGACTTCCTACATAGATGCGACAGTCAAGAAGGCACAACAACGCCTCATCTTCCTCAGGTGGCTCAGGAAATTTGGCATGCCCATAAGGTCCCTCACCAATTTCTACAGATGCACTATTGAAAGCATATTGTCCGGCTGCGTGGCAACTGCTCTGCCCAGGACTGTAAGAAACTACAGAAGGTGGTATGCACAGCCCAGACAATCACCAAAGCCAACCTTTCATCCAAGGACTCTATTTACATGGACTCTATTTACATGGCTCACTGCCATGGAAAGGCTGCCAACATCATGAAAGACCCATCGCACCCTGGTAATAACCTCCTACAACCGCTTCTGTCAGGCAGAAGGTATAGAAGCCTGAACACATGCACAAGCAAGTTCAGGAACAGCTTCTTTCCGGCCGTTATCAGACTGTTGAATGGACTCTAGCCTCAAATAATGTAACCTGCAACGTGACCTGTATGTCTCTTTGATCTGTACATCCTTTGCTTGCTGTGATCTGCCTGTACCACTCGTAAACAAAGCTTTTCACTGTGTTTTGGTACAGGTGACAATAAATCAATATCTTTGTATATATACAAAGTTTGGTTCTGATAAAACAGCAAGCAAGTTATGATCGATGCATATACAACATTAGTTAAGTCACAGCTGGAATACAGTGTGCAGTTCTGGTAGCCACACTATAGGAAGTATGTGACTGCACTAGAGAGGGTGCAGAGGAGATTCACCAGGACTTTCCTGGAACTGGAGTGACTTAGGTTTGAAGACAGACTAGATAGGCTGAGGTTTTTTTTCCTTACAGCAGAGAAGGCTGAGGAGGGAACCTAACTGAAGTATACAAAATTACGACGGACATAGATAGAAACATTACCCGTTAGTTGAAGGGTCAGTAACCAGAGGGCACAGTTTTAAGCAGCAGAAATTTTAGAGGGGATTTGAGGAAAGGTTTCTGTAATGATTGGAACCCGGTGAATCTTATTGACTGTGAGAGTATTGATTGAGATTGTTAACCTCGAACAATTAAGAAATGCTGGCTGACAGATACAAACAGGGGATTCAGTAGCTTCTCATTTCAGGGCCTGACTCTGAGCTGGCTGTTTCAGGTTTTTTTTAAGAAAAGAAAACTGAAGGGTGGTAGGTACATGGAACTCACTGCCTAAAAGATGGTAAATCTCAAGACAAGTGTTCTCTTTAACTTGCTTACTGAAGCCTGTTTGCAGCAGTGACATCTGAATGTGGAAAATCAATGCTGTGTTCACCGTGCTGATGACTGTGTGCAGAACATTGGAGCTACTGTGAACTTGCTTAGCCACGTGGCTTAGGGGGAATGTTGATCAAGACATTTTAAGAGTTTAGATGAGCACTTGAAAACCCATAGCATACAAGGCTATGGACTGTGTGATGAAACATGGGGTTAGAATATGGATAGGTGCTAGATGATTGATGATTCTCATCTCAACAACAGAAAACTGTTGAGACCAAAACCTTGAAGGAGCTAGATATCATTATAGAATGCAGTACAAATGCCCTTTTGCCCATCAAGTGTTTGGTGACAAAATTATCCCACTAGTCCCACTTTCCCTTACCAGACCCATAGCCTTGAATGTTATGACACTTGAAGTGTTCATCCAAGTACATTAGTTCTTAGGGCTAATGGGATATGGGGACAAAGCAGGAACACAGTATCGAGTTGGATGATCAGCCAAGATAATATTGAACGGTGGAGCGCGTTCCAAAGACCAAATGACCTACTATGACTGACATGGGCATGATGGTCAGAAGGGCCTATTCTTCAGTGAAAAAAATATTTTAAATCAATCTGCTCAGAGACGTTATTGCACACCACTAGAGCAGATGTGACTTGAACCTAGACCTCTAACTCAAAGGGAAAGACATTACCACAAGACCCCGTCAACTAACGAAACAGCAACATTGCCATCAGGCGCTCAGCTTGGCCACCTAAAGCAGTCAGAGGACCGCCTCCCTGCCCCGCCCTCTCAGGGCGGGCGCATGTTCAGAATGGATACGCCAGACGACATCAGCGTGTCCCTGATATCGATTGGTCGAAAGCCGCGTCAATCGCCAAGTCCTGGTCCAATCAGTGGACAGGATGGGGAGGCGGGCGGCCATCGGGATGAAGGCGACGGAGAGAAAATAAATAAAATAATTTAACGAGGGAAGGCATCCGTCCTGGGGCCATCATGATGCGGTAGGGGACGAGCGATAAGCGGTTCCATGGCGGCCTCAGACGATGACACGGTGTCGGAGCGCTCGAGCTCCGAGGGCGAGTACCCGGTGTTCGAGCGCGGGGCAGCGGCGGCTGCCGCCGACGCCTTCCGATTGGCCGCCTTTGATCCGGACTGCGGCCGGCACCGCCGCCTCGGAACCGGAGACCGTGCTGAAGGCCTCACCTACCTGCACTTCATGTGGCAGGGGCAGGACGGGGAGCCCGGCGGCCGCCAGCAGGAGCTGACCGGGAAAATGGGCGTCAACCGCCTGAAGCGGCAGGTCAAGGTTCACCGCAAGGCTTGTCCTTTGGGCAAAGACATTCATGGTCAGTCTGACCACTGGGATTGGGTGATCGGACCGGCATGAGATGAAGAGGTCTGACCAGGTTGAGATGGGAGGTTATATTGGATTGAATAGGTTGACCAGCTTGGGTTGGGAGACGTATTGGATTGAATAGGTTGACCAGCTTGGGTTGGGAAACGTATTGGATTGAATAGGTTGACCAGCTTGGGTTGGGAGACGTATTGGATTGAATAGGTTGACCAGCTTGGGTTGGGAGACGTATTGGATTGAATTGGTTGACCAGCATGGGTTCGGAGATTGTTTCGGGTCCAGTTGGTTGACTACCTTGGGTTCGGAGATTGCTTTGGGTTCTGACACTTGATTCAATTATGTTGGTTTGAGTTACGGTCAGGGGATATTGAATTGCCTTTATTTAGACAGTAGGATTTAGATGGGATATGTTGACTGGATTTATTGAAGGATGACCAACCCTCCCTCTCATCCCTGCCTCCTTGACTTGACACAACCTGTCCATCTTCTGTCCCACCTAGCTGCCCCCCCACCTCACTGACCAATCCCCACCACTGCCTACCTGCACTCACCTATCACCATCCCACCTACCTTCCTTAGCCCCACCCCTCCTCTCTCTTTATTTCTGAGTTCCCTACCTCCTCTTCATTTCTGAAGAAGGATCCTGACCCAAAATGTCAACTTTCCTGCTCCTCTAATGCTGCCTGGCCTGCTGTGTTCCTCCAGCTCCACACTGTGTTATCTCAGTTTATAATGTTCCCTGCTTCTGTTGAAAGTTGGCTTTGGCCAGTTGGCAGCAGTTTCACCTTGGAGTCAAGAGATTTGTGTGTTCATGTGATCTTTCATGACCATGTGATCTATGTAGGTTGTTGCTTTAGTGCAGTGCTGAAGGAATGCTGCACTTAGAGGTGCCAAGTTAAGAATGAGATGTTAAATGTTGTTAGCTATGTTGAATTTGTAAAAGGTCGCATGGCAGTATTTTGAAGAATAGTGGGAAGAATCTAGAATCTACAAGAAATGCTTTGTGTTTGTTTTTATGTCCATCTTGGAGGACAGATAGGATCTTGGTTTAATGTGTGCATGGAGCTCTTGGATGCAAGTGTCTTCTTGTAATTGATAGTGGCTGGCTGGTGTGAAAGGAATAGTCTTTGTGTATAAGGTGCAATTTTCCTGGCCTCGGGTCATGCTAAAGCATTTTTCTACCCAAGGAAAGCAAGGATTTCTACACAAAAAGATTGGTGGCAATTACTGAATGTTCACTTAAAATATACCATACTGCTTTTTCTTTTGTTTCCCATATTTCTGTCCGTTTCTAATAATTTGGTTCAAGTTTTATCTTGGTCTGTGGTTAGTTTAGTTTTAAATAGGTGTGGAAGTGTTGTGTATTTTATTTTTGGAATATAAATGTGATTTGCGTTACTGTCTGCATGCAATTCTGCCTGAAGGAGAAATGCTTTTCCTGCAGTGAATAGTAAGTATTGAGTATTGTGGGGCTTTCCAGGAGGTGAAAACCCCAGTCAGTAATTTTACAGTTATTTTGTGAATCCAGGCTTCCATCAATAGAACCTGCAATGCAAAGGCAACAAACTCCAGATCATCAGGACTAATGGGTGAGACAACAAGGTGTAGAGCTGGATGAACACAGCAGGCCAAGCAGCATCAGAGGAGCAGGAAAGCTGACGTTTCAGGTCAAGACCCTTCTTCAGAAATGGGGGAAGGGAAGGGGATTCTGAAATAAATAGGGAGAGGGGGGAGGCGGATAGAAGATGGATAGAGGAGAAGATAGGTGGAGAGGAGACAGACGGTTCAAAGAGGCGGGGTTGGAGCCAGTAAAGGTGAATGTAGGTGGGGAGTTAGGGAGGGGATAGGTCGGTCCAGGGAGGACGGACAGGTCAAGGAGGCGGGATGAGGTTGGTGGGTAGGAGATGGGGGTGGGGCTTGAGGTGGGAGGAATGGTTAGGGAGGCGGGACAAGCTGGGCTGGTTTTGAGATGCGGTCGAGGGAGGGGAGATTTTGAAGCGTGTGAAGTCCACATTGATACCCTTGGGCTGCAGGGTTCCCAAGCGAAATATGAGATGCTGTTCCTGCAGCTTTCGGGTGGCATCGTTGTGGCAATGCAGGAGGCCCAGGATGGACATGTCGTCCAAGGAGTGGGAAGGGTAGTTGAAATGGTTCGCAACTGGGAGGTGTACTTGTTTGTTGCGAACCGAGTGTAGGTGTTCCGCAAAGCAGTCCCCAAGCCTCTGCTTGGTTTCCCCGATGTAAAGAAGGCCACAACGGGAACAGTGGATACAGTATACCACATTAGCAGATGTGCAGGTGAACATCTGTTTGATGTGGAAGGTCTTCTTAGGGCCTGGGATGGGGGTGAGGGGGGAGTTGTAGGGGCAGGTGTAGCACTTGCTGCAGTTGCAGGGAAAAGTGCCGGGTGTAGTGGGGCTGGAGGGGAGTGTGGAGCGGACGAGGGAGTCACGGAGAGAGTAGTCCCTCTGGAAAGCAGATAAGGGTGGCGAGGGAAAAATGTCTTTGTTAGTGGGGTCAGATTGCAGATGGTGGAAGTGTCGGAGGATGATGCGTTGGATTCGGAGTTTGGTGGGGTAGTACATGAAGATGAGGGGGATTCTGTTTTGGCTGTTATTGTGGGTAGGGGGTGTGAGGGATGAGTTGTGGGAAATGCGAGAGACACGGTCGAGGGCATTTTCGACCACTCTGGAGGGGAAGTTGCAGTCCTTGAAAAACGAGGACATCTGGGATGTCCAGGAGTGGAATGCCTCATCTCGGGAGCAGATGTGGCAGAGGCAAAGGAATTGGGAATAGGGGATGGCCTTTTTGCAGGAAGGTGGGTAAGAGGAGATGTATTCTAGGTAGCTGTGGGAGTCGGTAGGCTTGAAATGGATATCGGTTTCCAGGTGGATGCCAGAGATGGAGACAGAGAGGTCCAGCAAGGAGAGAGACACTTGCTTTTGAAACCACAAGTGCAGTATTTATTGGCTGTTAACGATTTGACCAGTAACAGTTTGCACGGACCCATGGATAAATAAATAAGTGTAGTTCATATAGTTTTATCCGCTAGACCTGTTTATTAACTTTGCCTGTTCTTTGGAAGTTTATTTTTACAATTAATTCTACTTTATTTTGCAGCTCAGAAGCGTTTACGAGAGGCTGCAAATGCCAATGAAGTTGAGATTGGTAAGTTTAAGTTAGCCTTCTGTGGTGTGTCTTAACAAAGAACTGATTCTTTGCTTGTATTTTGGACGTCCAGTTGTGTCTACTGATTGAAAGGGAATTAAACCTGTCTTGTTCAATAATTATACTGGAAATAATGAGTCCTTTGTCCTGGTTATGTAAATGTTTTTTTCTTCTGTAGACTTATTTTCCAATTTCATTCTTGCCGACTTTCTTTCCTTTACCTCAGTGATTTTTAAGAAAGATTTAGCTGCTGGTGCCCTCAGTCATTTTCTTGTCTTCACTTCCTCCAGTGAAATAAATATAAACTGTTACTGGTCAAATATAAATATAAGATCTCTACTTGATTTTGCTACTAACCCTCTGTTGGTTTTGCAACTTTGCACCCCCTGAGGGTTGTGGATGCTTCTATCATTGTCCATTACAGCTTTAAATGCAGCCAGATTATTGATCTTTCGGGGAATCAAGGGATGTGGACAATGTAATGCTACTGGGCCTTTCTCTGTGCTCGAGATTGTGTTCCTTTATGATTCAGTTGAAGTGAGTGTTTAAGGTGTTGAAAGATGGAGGTGGGTATGGTGTGTAGTGAAGCTTTGTCTTCAATGAATCAGCGAAAGTTCGATGCCTGACTGTAAGTACTAATTCTAGTTGACTTCACCTATAGTCAGTTCTGACATAACGTGTGTTTCTTCAACGCAAATTGGCTTGAACACAATTGAACAATTTAGACTGCTATTTTTAGAATGCGAACTTTCCTTACCCTTATTGACTATAATGTGATTCTGGCCCTATGAGTTTAAATGGCACGGCTATTGTGCGATTTTGTTTTATTTGTTCTTATAATGCGAGATCGTGCAAGAATGGATTATGTTTGCATTAGATGAGAACTGACTGTATTCATACTTGCATTAGCTATATTCAGATCATCTTTCTAAAATTTACACTGCATTAATTTACTCTATACTCAAATACTGAACCTCCCATCTTCAGTGTCGGCCTGCAAAAAATGTATCTGTGCTGATAACACAACTCTACCTCTTGATCCCCTTTCTTTGAACCCTCTCCGTTCTGCAAACCTCTAGTCCCGTGTAACAATTGTGATATTTGTAAGATATCATATTTTAAGACCGTCTTTAAAGTGAAGTGAAACAGGTGATGTGACCTCTTTTGAAACCTGCTTGATAAATATTGAGTGGTCTGATTATTAGAGATAAAAAGGGGGCCAGATTGTTTTGTTGAGAAGATCATGCATGGCTTTTACGTTTGGAGGCAGTGGCAGCAGCCTGAGTCTGTAAAGTCTCAGAAAAATGTTGAGAATGTTGGGTTGTTAACAGTTAATTTATAAAGTGTCCATTTATGTCCAAGATAAGAGAGGTTTCAAACAAAGCTAATCGGCATTCTACCTGGATACAAGACCCACGTAATTCACATTGCCTTCAAGATGTGCTTTGGGAGGGAGGGATTTCTAGGGTATCCCTGGAAACTCTCAAAATATTATTGATCTGCCGTGATCTGGGAGAGAGAGAGACCAGATGGTGATCAAAATGTTCGTGGCATAGAAATACCAATGAGGGCCTGCACTTGGATTGAAAAGACCAAATATGTGAGAAGTAAAATGGGGCTGGAAGATAGCCTAGCATGTGTTAGAGGTTGAATCTCCAGGCGTAACAGACTTGTTATAAAATACGGTTTTGAGATTAAAAGTTACTAGGCTGAGAAAGGCAAAAACAGAATTATACGTTCAGTAGCTAGGAATCACCTTGGACTGATTCTAGGAGAATTGAATATCAACTTAAAAGGATAGTGTAAAATTTATTGTGTGAAGTTCTTTTTTTCTTGACTATGTTAAAACTGAAATGGGGAAAGTTTGGTCCTGTGACTAAATTAAGTTGCTTACAAAGATTTATGTTTAGTCAGTGGTGCATTAACTCTTTTGTTACAATGAAAGTCCTAAAATGTGAAATCATCCTTTTAGCTATTAACTAGCCGTTCAGATTTTTGTTTTCAAAAAAAGTGGTCTTTCTGGAGACCATAACACTTTAGATGAGCATAAATGCTAGAAAGACTTGAATTCATTGTATTTGGATGCTATCACAAACTTTCTAGCTTGCCATCAAGCCCATCCGCTTTCCCAGATTGAATGAAGCTGACTATTCACATCCTTGGAATGCTGCACTAAGTTGCATGCTCTCCACCAAAACTTTAATCTCCTTAACACTTGCCACCCCTGCCTCAGCCCAACTGCTGTTGAAACCCATATTCAGTTCATTTCATCTCCAGACTCAAATTTCAGTGATGACCTGCCTTGTGTCTGATCTTGTAATCCGATTGTATTGTAGAACTCCCACAGTACCTCCTTGAAGTGTCAACCTGGAGTACATGCTCAAAATGTCAAGTGGAGCTTCAACCCATGACCTCCTTGTTTAGAAGGAAGCCTGCGATCAAACAAGCTAAACACTAGAATTCATAGTTTAAACTATGTTGTAACAGACACATACTTGAATATTTTCAATGAAATGTTATCATGGGCATCCTTCTTGGTCAGAATGGTGTTTGTTGGTGTGGACTTAACACCATTTGACTTGCACGTGGCAAGGGTTACTATTTATCTGATGTTGCACTTTCTCCATAGGGACATGCCTCAGGTGTCGAAGCCAAGAGAGTTGTGAATGCAGATTGATGAGAGTCAAGGTTGATTTAATATTAAAATAAGTATTGACATCCTTAATTTTATTCACCGAGTAAGATTTCCTTCACACAAGATAGCTCTTGAGCTTCAAGCTGATGGAGCTTTTAAGGCCTTGCTGACTAGCTGCAGCCTTAAAATATGAGGATGGGGATTGTAGGAGTTTGAAATGCTTGGCATGGGTTATACCTAGTCTGATCTCGGTAACAGGCAAACATTATTGTTTTATTTAGTGAGCCAACTGCTTGAGGGTGGCACTGAACCATGTGTAGCTGATGACAAAGGCAGGACTGCCCTTCACTTCGCTTCTTGTAATGGAAATAGTTCAATCGGTGAGTAGAGTGAAAATACCTATTTCTTAGTCAAGTATATATTTACTCTTTACACTTCCTCTACCCCCACCCCACTCTGTTCTGATGTATATGCTTAGCTTTTCTACCCTTCTGTTTTCACATTGGTCCATCAGTTACAGGAACAGATGATTGTCAGTTTGCACACCCAACTGTATAAAAGCTGTTATGTAATACACCCAGAGATGTGTGCAGTTTTGGAAAATAAAACCAGCTGAATTTCTTAATTATTTGTTGACATCAGATGCTGCCAGCAATTAACCAGATATGAGTGGGGTATGAGGTATGTTGATCTAATGAGGATTCATTATTTGTTTTAGGTTAGAAGCCTCTGGTTTTAAAAATAAAATGGTGAAACATAACCACCTGGCTTTTTCTTCTCACTGTAGTGCAGTTGTTGTTGGATCATGGAGCAGACCCTAACCAAAGGGATGGACTGGGAAACACACCACTGCATCTGGGTATGGTAACAATGAGGAATGTTAATGTTTCTGAAACTGGTAATAAGCTTGTGTTCTGAGTATTTAGGGAGTCATTGCTACAGCATAGCATTGCTCAGGAGCTCCTGTTACTGTGTTTTCTATTCCCAATTGCTATTTTCTTACCTTCAAAAAGGCATTTAGTTATTTTTAAGACGGAATCTGTTGAAAACATGGATTTTAGATATGCTTGGATATGGCTGGTTTCCAAAACAGGGCTGCAGTCCTTGGCATGCTCCCAGGTTTATGGAACTTTGAGGCTTTCTATTCAATGAAATATCCATTCTAATGCTGTCTGGCTTTGTCTGTATTGGACACTTTAATCTTGTATCTGTTCAGCCTGTCAATTATCAATGCTTAAATATTATTTTCACTTGCCAGTTTGATCACTGAGTAAATGTGGCATGTGGGATACCATAGTGTCAGTGGTCAAGTAATCCAGAGAGTGAGCATTTGAATCACTCACTTTTTGATAGTTTGGGAATATCACTTTGGTTATAAATTTAAAGGGCCTGTTATCAGTAGTATTGGATTATTAATTTAGTTGCTTGACCATAAAGCACTCTTAATACAGATTCTTTGGCCATTGAAGCTGTTCTTTGTAATTCCAATCCCGATACCAATATGCTTGCCACTTGATTGATCTCTGAAATTGCCTGGCAAGTTACTCAGTTGCACCAAAGCCACTACAAAACGGAATATATTACTTAGCTGTGACTGACATTTTAAATCAGGATATGCCCAATGCACTCCTAGCCTAAAGGGAAGAGGAGGCTCCTTGAACATGGACCCCAACAAGAGAATGCACAAAGCAAGACTGAAACATTTGCAGCTACCTTCAGCTAGGAATAGTTGATCAGTCCTGGTCTTGTCCTTATATCTTTGCCCAATCACAAATGCTAGCCTTCAGGTAGTTAATTTCACTTCCAGTGACATTTAGAAATGGCTTGACACACTGAACAGAAACATTTATAAAGTCATGGGTATAGATAGGGTTAATGGTAGCTGTCTTTTCCTTAAGATGGGGGATTTTGAGACTGGGGGATGTATTTTTAAGGTGAGAGGAGAGAGATTTAAAAAAGATGAGGGGCGAATTTTTTACACAGGTTGGTTCGAGTCTGAATGAACTTCCTGAGGAAGTGGTGGATGTGGGCACAGTTACAACGTTTTAAAAAACACTTGGATAAGTACATGAATAGGAAAGGTTTGGAGGGATATGGACAAGAAGCAGGCAGGTAGGACTAATTTAGTTTGGGTAATGTTTGGCAGGGATAAATGTCAGAGAGTCACAATGGGAAGTGGGATCACGTTGGAAATTAGCTTGGGAAGAACAGATCTTGAAAATCACCAAGCTCTACCAATCTCTGGGAACTCTCTTACCTCCACATCACACACTATCTTGACGAACATATATTGCCATTTCCTCAACATGCCTTTTTGGAATTTCGCACCAAAGAACAGAGAATACCTAATCACATGGGCTTAACTATTTCAAGAATAGATTCATCACCGTCTCCTTTGGGGTGAGCTTGAATGTCAGCCTTGACAGCACCACTTACATCCCTGAAATGACTCTTAACATAGTAATTCTAAGGCATTGTCAATAAGTTCCATCCCCTATTGAATGCTGAGTTACAAAGGTGTGAATTAGGAGCAGGAGTAGGATGTCTAGCCTTTTGAGCTTGCTCTGACATTCAATAAGAGTTGACTGAAACAGGTTTTTTTTGGCGTTGTGGTTTGATTGATGTTAGCATTTGTGCGTTAGGGAGTTCCTGGTTCTTTCTTCTCTACTGTAAACATAAATGTTATTAAGCAGCTGAATCTTTCTTTTTTTCAGCTGCCTGTACAAACCATGTACCTGTGATCACTACACTCTTAAGAGGAGGTGAGTATTCACTACTTTAAATAAAAGCTCATAATTTAACTTTGTTACTATAGCATATTATTATCAGGGGGTTACTAAATGGAGTTACAAATTGTTTTGATTCAGAGACCTGGTTTTCATGCATGAACTATTCCATTTGTAAATCTGTCTTTCCGTACCATAATATTCTTGATTAAATGGTTAGTTGGGTAACCCAGTTTGTACAGCACCATCCATTCTAGGATGTTGCGCTGAATGGCCTCTTGTTGTGTCTGACTGCACACTACTCCCATAATTAAGGCCAGTCAAATGTTGCTATCTCAGGGGAGGGGGGAGGGGAATAATTCTCTTTATGATTTTTGAGTCTAAAAATTGGGGAACAGTGGACATAGTCATTATCTCCAAAGACCAGAACATTCAGTGGCTATTTTGACCGTGCACATGTGTGACTGAGACTTGTGGTAGGACAGAGAACTGATTGCACAGTTTTAAATTTACTCAGAGTAGTAAGGGTGTGGAACGCCCTGCCTGCAAAAATAGTAGACTCGCCCACTTTCAGGGCATTTAAATGGTCATTGGATAAACATATGGATGATAATGGAATAGTTTAGGTTAGATGGGCTTCAGATTGGTTTCACAGGTCGGCGCAACATCGAGGGCTGAAGGGCCTGTACTGCGCTGTAATGTTCTATGTACTATGTTCTATAATTTGGAGCTATTGGAAAAGTCTCCTTTTGAACTTTGATCAAGGACTTTAGAGAATTTCTCTGCCCTGAAGATTCATACATTTTCCTTGGGCTGAACCTTGTTTTATTTACATTGTATTTATCTATATGTTTGCCTTTTCTCCCTCATTCTTTTATTTTTCCCTGAGTCAGTAGTTAAATATTTATAGATAACTTCTGTGCCACTCACTGATGAGAAGGAAGTATTTCTGGTCATTTTCTTCCCCCTCAAAATTTCTTCATCCCTGTTGAAGTAACCTACATCTCGTAGTAGAAATACTGGAGCTAGTGAAGAGTCCAACATTCTTGTAGGTCAAGGACTGCTGATCTAAATGTTTAGGTTTATTTCATCTGGGGAATACTAGTTTACCAACTTTTTTTTCCCTATTGTACTCTTTTTGTGGCAGTGTTCTGTAAGGGTTGAAGAAGATACATACCATAGGGAAACAGCAGGTCAGCGATTCTCAACTTGTCTAGAATACAAGGCTAACTGGAAACTTCCTGTTTGTTCCTCTCAGGTGCCAGAGTGGATGCCCTAGATCGAGCAGGAAGGACTCCACTCCACCTCGCCCGCTCTAAACTGAACATCCTGCAAGATGGTCATTCACGAAGCCTGGAGGCCCTCCGGGTAGAGGTGAAACAGGTGAGGCACGAAGTGAGGGCAGGGGGCTTTCAACAACCGGAAGATTAAGCTGTCAATTTGTTATTGGTTTCCATGTATACCTTTGCTTTCCTTAATCCGTTGATCTTCTATGGTGTTGCACTTCAGGTGTCAAACCAATTATATTTTAATTATATATAGTCATGACCACACCTTTTTTTTTGTCTCATACTACAAAACTTGAACAAGCTCCCGTTTATCAGTACCTTTTTGATTGCTCCTCTCTTTATCTTGCTCCCTCTATCTTGTGTACCCACCTCCTTGTTCGTCTTCATACTCATTTGACAAACCACCATCCATGTACTCTCCTTCAGCCCATCTACCAATTACGTGTTTCTCCTAACCTTTTTTTGTTCTCTCTCCACCATATTCTCTTGGATTCTTTCACTCTTTCATTCCTCACATCCGCTCCCAAGCTGCATTCTCGCAACTCTTCTTTGCAAACATCTCCACCTTTCCGTTTATTTGTAATCTCTTTCTCTTTCTCCCTTTCCCATCTCCTGCTGATATTTGGGTGTATGTGTGTGTGTCTGTCTGTCTCTCCTCTCTTTACCCCCAAATTTCTTGTCTCTGTCTCTTCACCAGTTCCCACATCTGTGTATGTCTGTCTTATTTAAATTGTCTCCCTGCATGCTTTTGTTCTTTGTGAACACCTCTTATTCTTTCACTCTCATTTCCTACCCATCTAGGTCACTCTGACTGAGGTAGCATGACAACTGAGCCCTGGCCTGTTATGATTCAGATGATATTGCAACTGGACAAATCAGACCCCAGACTGAAATCTGGCTTGGTAGATCATATTTTTGCTTTTTCTTGAACATGTCTTTCACTGAAACACAGGTGGCATATTTGGTTTTAACAGTAAGAATGGTTTACTGCACAAAAAAAAAGTTAAAATAAAACAAGCCAAACTATCTTCATGTTTCAAACACCCAGCAAAACAAAATCTCATCTATTACCCAATACCATCACTTTTACTTTTATTTTAACCATAACGGGGTGACCACTTTAATCTTGTATCCTCTTGATAGCCACGGTCACTTTTGTGCATTTACAGTGTCCTGAATCTAACTATCCATATTTATTTCTCAGATCATTCAGATGCTGCGTGAATATTTGGAAAGACTAGGTAACCATCAAGAGACTGAGCAGCTGGATGATCTTTGTACAAAACTTCAGATGACCAGCACAAAAGAACAGGTGGGACCCAGAAACAGGAAATAAGTTTCTTTTTCTTTAAAGTAAGAACCTATGAGTAAGGGCAGTCTGACCGAACAAGTGGATTTTGTTTTTTGTTGAGAAAATTGCGCAGGCCCAGTTTCCAAAGTACATTGATTTGATGTATGTCAATGTAAAAGAAAGTAGCAAAGAGGGAGAAATGAGGTTGTATTGAGTGTCCTTTACTGGCCAAGCTTCTAATTGAGCTTGTCTGCGAAGAACTACAGTTGCTTTAATTCATCAATTTTTTTTATGTGGGTGTTTCAATATATTGGCCTTGAGACGATAGTAGTGAGCTGCTTTCTTGAACCACCACAGTCTAGGTCCATCCTCACTCTTGTTAGGTATAGAGTTCCCTGATTGTAATACAGTCTATAATTTGAAAGTCACTTTTGGTTCTAACCTCCCATATTGTGCCCTCGTTGTTTTGAATTTGAATCACCAGATAATTTTTAAATGGAAGGAATTAGAAGTGGTGTAATTTCTGCCATTCCTGTGTTTTCATTCAGTTGTATTATGTTCCAAGATGAGTGGGCCTAGAGCAATATTCAGATTGTGTTCTAGTTTAGCATGGCAATCTGGCTGCCTCCTAGGCCCTATATCCACAGAATAACTCCCTCGTTGTGACAACTGCTTCAACATAAATTAAAAATTGAATTGGAGTCTTTGCTGGTCCTCATTGCTCATTACAATACTTGGCAATACACCTACTCGCTGTGATGTCTGAAGATTTGAATCTTGACCATTTTAAATCTCTGCATTAATGTAAAGATAGGGTAATCTGAATTGAGAATTCTCAGTGAGTGAGATTTAATGTGAAATATTAACATGAGAGAGATCAGGTGTCTCCAATTTAAGAATTAGATGGGAGAAAATTTTTCTGAGGGTTTGAATCTTTGGAGCTCTCTACTTCAGAGCAATGGAAGTGTGGTTATTGAATACTTTAACTCTTCCTTAAGAGTAAGATTAGGGATTGCTGGAATGTGGGGTTGAGGCTACAATAAGTCCATCATAATTTCGAATAGTAGAGCAGGCTAAAGGGGCCAGATGGTCCACTCCTCCTAATCACATTTGTTTGCACATTAGTGAAAATAATGCTGACCATCATCTTTGGTTTCTCTACAATAAACATGAAAAGTTGCTGATCTGTCAGATTTCACTGCACTTGGCCAACAAATACACGAGTTAGGTAGCTGGTAGCTGACTTCAGACCACTATATGATGCTCCAGAAATTTATCTAAAAACAAATAGCCCACTGTATGAGTCTATTGGAACTAATGTAAAACCATATACAAATAGAGAAGCAATGTAGAATTCACTTTCAAAAACTTCCACCTTGTTTTTCTATTTTGGAGTTTTCTGGTTTTATGTGTGAGATTCTTTAGTTAATTTGCTTTGATCTAACAGGCCTTCCTGCTCTCTTTGCAGGTTGATGAAGTTGCTGACCTGCTCTCGAGCTTCACTACACTCAGCCTACAAATACACAACTTGGGTACAAGGTAGCTGAATACAGTCCTTCCACTGCCATTGGTGCAATTCTACAAGCACTGATGTAAAAATAAATATGTGAAAGCCAATGTAGAAATCACAGTTTTCTTTCTAGACCTGTGTTTGTGACCTTTGGTTTTAGCAACATAATTCTCACTTTTTAATATAATAGAAATGTTGATAAAATCTTTATGGAAGCAAGCTTTGAACCTGAGCTCTCCCAAGATAATGAGTGTTAGCTCTGGTAGAAACTTTTTAACCTCCTAAAATTCTTAGTGTAATAATGTGGACTGGTCTGATTTACAAGCATGTCACCTTCATGGTGAAAGCTTTTATGATGACTGTTGACAGATATTAAAGCAGAAATTGATTGTTTCCAAGTACTCTTACTTCAGGTGACAATGGTTTGATTAACAAACCAACAACTTGAAATTCACTGTCAGAATCTGTTTATAATGTGCAGTTATTGGTGACAGTAAATATGTATTAAATGTAAAGTTTCAGTGAATAAAGTTTAAACTGAGCAATGTAGTTTTTTTTCAGTGAAATTGGTTGTAACAGATCCTTTGGTCTTTAACTTTCCTTTCAAAAAGAGCTGATGTATAAAACAGAGAAGTGCACAGCACAGGAACGGGCCCTTTAGTCCATGATATCGTGCCAACCATGATGCCAAATTAAACTAATCCTTTCTGCCTGCCCATGGTCCGTGACCTTCCGTTCCTTGGAAATTCATGCGCTTATCTAAAAGTTGCCTAAAACACCCCTGCCTGTCACCACCCTGGCAGCACGTTCCAGACTCCTACCACACTGTAAAAGAAAAACTTGCCTCCTCTTTCTTCTCCCTTCCTTCCCCCACCCCCCCCACCCACCGAAGTATTAGCCATTGCAACTGTGGGGGGCGAAGAAGATTGACTATCAACCCTATCTATACATCTCATCACTTTATAGACTTCTATCAAGTCTCCCCTCAGCCTCCACTGCTCTAGAGAAAACCACCCGAGTTTTTCTCGTCTCCTTGTAGCTCATACCCTCTACTCCAGACAGCATCCTAATAAACCTCTTCTGCACCCTCTCCAAAGCCTTCACATCCTTCTTGTAATGTGACAACCAGAATTGAACACTCTACTCAGTGTGTCATATACAGCTGCAACATGACATGCTGATTCTTGTACTCAATTCCCCAACCAACAAAAGGTAAGCATGCAGTATGCTTTCTTTACCACACTATCTACTTGAGTGGCCATTTTCAGGGAGCTATGGATTTAAACCTCAAGATCCCTCCGTACATCAATGCTATTCAGGGTCCTGCCATTAACTGTATATTTTTCCTTAACATTTCATCTCCCAAAGTGCAGCACCTCATATCTTACCTGGATTAAACCACATCTGCCATTTCTCCATCCCTATCTGCAACTGATCCATATCCTGCTGTATCACACTATCCACAAATTCATTGGTCTTTTATACAGTCTGCAAACTCACGTTTTCATCCAAGTCATTTGTACACAAATAGCAGAGGTCTCAGTGTGGATCCCTCTGGAATACCACTAGTCATGGACCTCCAGCCAGAAAAACACCTTTCTGCCACTATCTTTTATGGGCAAGCCAATTCTGAATCCACACGGCCAAGTGACTGTGGAGTCCATGTATCTTAATCTCTCAATCTTCTGGATGAGTCTACACTGAGCACAAATTAATTTTTAACAAAGTAAGTAGTTCCCAGCATGGGACATAGGACTTTACTTGCTGTCAAATTAGTCATATTTAAGGAAGAAATGTAAGCACTCAGTGGTGGAACAATGGAATCAGGTACTAGTGAGTTACAGTTGAAGCAGCTTGATCATAACGGGGAAAAGTAAAACAAAATCTCAAACCATACTATGTGGAATTCAAAAGGGAAGATGGAAATGAGAAAGCAAGGATTTGAATTGTAAAGGAAAAGAGAGAGATCACAAATGTAAGCTTAAAGTGCTACATATTTAGGGTGGAGCGGCAGGGAGCTGGTAACCAGAACAACAGGTCAGCAAGTGGAGGGACTGAGTGGAAGGTAGATGTTAGGTCCAGTAAGTCAGAAAGGAAGGACAGGCAGAGACAGGTAAATGAATACGATGATACTAATGGGCTGAAGTGTGTTTATTTCAACACAAGGAGTATTCTAGGTAAGGCAGCTGAGCTTAGAGCCTGGATCAGTATATGGGACTATGATGTTGTAACCATTACAGAGGCTTGGTTGGGAGAGGGGCAGGACTGGCTGCTCACCATTCCAGAGAAGATACAGAAGTAGTAAGAGATGGAGGAGTTGCATTACTAATCAGGGAGAAAATCACATGTGCACTCAGAGAGGACATACTGGAGGGCACATCCACTGAGGCAATATGGGTAGAGCTCAAAAATAAGATGGGTGTAATCACTCTGATAGGATTATACTATAGCGTTTCCCCCCCTCCGTCCCAAACAGCCCCAAGATGTTGAACAAATATGTAGACAGTATATGGGAAGATGCAATAACAACAGGTTTGTCACAGTGGGTGACTAACTCCCCCAATATAGACTGGGGCTCATTTAGAGCAAGAGGCTCAGATGGGGCAGAATTTAAGTGCAACCAAGAGGGTTTTCTTGAAGCAGTATATGGTTAGTCCAACTAGAGGAGGGGCCATATTGGATCTTGTACTAACTAATGAGTCTGGCTAAGGTGACTGACTTTTCAGTGGGAGAGCATTTTGGAAATTGATCACAACTTAGGTTTTAAAATAGCTATGAATAAGGATAAGTCAGAACTTTGCAGGAAGGTACTAAATTGAGGGAGGGCAAACTATGTCAGTATTAGGCAGGAGTTAGGGAGTGCTAATTGGAAGGAGCTGTTATCAAGCAAGTCCACATTTGACATGTGCGAGTTGTTTAAAAAGCAGTTGATGAGAGTTCAGGACCAGCATGTTCTAGTAAAGAGGAATGACAAGGATAGCAAGGTAAGGGACCCTTGGATAATGAGGGAGGTTGTGAATTTAATGGAAAAGAAAAAAGCAGCATATGTAAAGTTTAGGAAGCTGAAAATCAGCAGGGCCCGTGAGGAATATAAAGAAAGCAAGAAAGAACTCGAGTAGGGAATAAGGAGAGCAAGAAGGGGGCATGAAATGACTTTGGCAAGTCGGGTTGAAGAGAATCCTAAAGTATTCTTTATACATTAAAAATAAGAGGATAACTAAGGAGAAGGTAGGACCACTCAAGGATGAAGGAGAAAACTTGTGTGGGTGAGATCCTAAATGAGTACTGTGTGTCGGTGTTTATGCAGGAGAAGGATATAGAACATAGAACATTACAGCGCAGTATAGGCCCTTTGGCCCTCGATGTTGCGCTGACCTGTGAAACCAATCTGAAGCCCATCTAACCTAAACTATTCCATTATCATCCATATGTTTATCCAATGACTATTTAAATGCCCTTAAATTTGGCAAGTCTACTACCTTTGCAGGCAGGGCATTCCACGCCCTTACTACTCTGAGTAAAGAACCTACCTCTGACATCTGTCCTATATCTTATCACCCCTCAATTTAAAGTTATGTCCCCTCGTGCTAGCCATCACCATCCGAGGAAAAAGGCTCCCACTGTCCACCCTATCTAATCCTCTGATCATCTTGTATGTCTCTATTAAGTCACCTCTTGACCTTCTTCTCTCTAACAAAACGTATGTGCTCTGGGAACCTATAGAGGTTAATGAGATTTGTGTGGAGCATGCTAATATGCTAGGGCACCTGGAGATCAAGAAAGTGGTGTTGGGTCTCTTGAAGAGCATTAAGGTGGATAAGTCTCCAGGGCCCGATGGTATCTACCCCAAGTTATTGAGGCAAGAGAAGAGATTGCTGGGGCCTTGACCAAGATCTTTGTATTGTTGTTAGCCACTGGAGGACTGGTGTGTAGCTAATGTTGTTCCTCTGTTCAAGGGAAATGGGGATAATCCAGGAAACTATAGACTGGTGAGTCTAACATTGGTGATTGGAAAGCTATTAGAGAGAATCCTTAAGGACAGGTTGTGTGCGCTTTGGGAAAAGTTAGCATAGCTTCGTGCAGGGCAGGTCACGTCTCACTAACTTGACTGAATTTTTCAAGGTGACGACAAAGGTGATCAATGAGAGTAGAGCAGTAGATGTCGACTACATGGATGTTAGTACGGTTTTCGACAAGGTCCATTATGGTAGGCTCATCCAGAACATCGAAGATGGCCTGGCTGCGTGGATTCGGAATTAGCTTGCCTGTAGAAGGCAGAGGGTATGTAGAATGGTGTTTTTCTGGCTGGAGGTGCAGGACTAGTGGTGTTCTGTACGGATCCATAGTAGGACCTCTGCTGTTTTAAATGACTTGGATAAAATCGTAGTTGGGTGGGTTAGTAATATTGTAACATCTGCAAAGATCAGTGGAGTTGTGGATAGTGTGGAAGGTTGTCAAAAGAATCCAGCAGGATGTAGATCAGTTGCAGCAAAAATTGCAGATGGAGTTTAATTTGGGTAAGTGGGAGGTGCTGCACTTTGGGAGATCAAATGTTAAGGGGAAGTATACAGTTAGTGGCAGGACCCTGAATAGCATTGGATGTTGGGGTTCAAGTCCATAGCTTCCTGAAAGTGGCCACTCCAGTCGCTAGGGTGGTAAAGGAGGAATATGGCATGCTTGCCTTTATTAGTCGGGTAACTGAATACAACAGTCAGGATGTCATGTCGTGGTTTTATAAGATTTTGGTTAGGCTACACAGTATTGCGTTCCATTCTAGTCACCACATTACAGGAATGATGTGGAGGCTTTGGAGAGGATGCAGAAGAGGTTTACGGGGATGCTGCCTGGCTTAGAAGGTACGAGCTTTCAAGGAGAGGCTAGAAAAACTCAGGTTGTTTTCTCTGGAGCAGTGGAGACTGAGGGAGACTTAATAGAAGTCTATAGAATGATGAGATATACAGATAGGATTGACAGTCAGAATGTTTTTCACCCCCCAGAGAGTTAAATGTCTAAACAAGGGGGAATATATTTCAGGTGAGAGGGGTAAAAGTTGAAAGGAGCTGTGAGGGGCAAGTTTTATTACACAGAGTGGTAGGAGTCTGGAATGCATTGCCAGGGAGGGTGGTGGAGGCTGGTACGATACGGATGTTTAAGACAGTTTTAGATAAGCATATGAATATGCAAAGAATGGAGGGATATAGACCAAGGGCAGGCAGAAAAGATTAGTTTAATTTGGCATCATGTTTGACACAACAGCAAAGGCCGAAGGGGCCTGTTCCTGTGCTGTACGCTTCACGGTTTAAGATCATCTGACAGCTTTTGTTTTTAAAAATCTTCTAACTTATGTGAAACCCCAGGAATATGGGGCTGCGAGTATCCGTGAATAAGCCTGAGTGCATCATGACAATACTGACTAAGTTTGGTCCCGCAAGGCGCAAATTCAGAGGGATTTCAAAACAATGATGAATGTTATAAAATTATACTCACTGATGGGACTGAGGCTACAGATCTAAAATCTGATTTGCACCATGACTCATTTTTAAGTTGTGTAAACTTTACAAGCCACTCCAAACTCCTCCCAGTCATTATTTTCACAAACAGCTTCAGAGTATCAAACAGTGTTGTCTTTGCCCTCCCCTGAAATGCTGGCTGTTTGAAGAGTTGAGAAAATGTCATGGAGAGAGAGAAATTTTGCAGCCAGACTCCCTCCAGTCCACGGATTTTGCAGCCGTGTTTGCTCGTAGAACTGTCTTCGAGAAGGTTACAATATTTGTTCAATGGGCCTCTTGTTACTTTGTCCAGAGTTGGAGGTTGAAATCCCATGGCATGCTGTCCTGTGTTTCTGAAATGAATGACCTCCTTCCACTGGGGCCAACAGGATTCCACGCAGGTCATGTCTGGGGTTTTCTACTGCTACCATTCAGACAGAGGACATTGGAACAGAATCTGAGGATCACGCAAACAGCCAGAGGAGACCCACGGGTGTGGGATGGGCAGTTGGGATCCATGAGATTGGTTGGCTACAGCGATGCAGGAAGGACTTCCTTCTGAACACAGTTCAACGAAACTAAAGTTGCATGAAGGCAACTTACAACTAGCAGATGTTTTGAGGCTGGCAGCTCCTGTACAATCTCAACTGTAAATGCAGCTTAATGCTTTGTTTCTATGTGGTTCACATCCTGTTTAGTTAAGGTTACAAAGGCCCCAGACTTGCCGTTCTGATAAAGTATCACTGGATTCAAAATGTTAACTCTGCTTTCTGGAGTTTGGAGCGGATGAGAGCGAGTGAGGGAAGGTGTTGGATGCAATAGTGAGGGTGGTAGACCAGGCACGTGGATAGGTGGTGAGTGCAGTGGCAAAGATAGATCGAGGTAGCAGAGAGAAGATGGTAGCACTTATCCTCAGAGAGATAATGATTTACTGATTCAATGCTTTGGTCAATTCAATGAATGTGAACTGTTTCTGGAGTTGTTGACATTTTTCTTGGATTTGTCTAGCAGCCAAGGTTGCGTTGGAGGCTTCTGCAAGGTATAAAGTTGCAGTGCCATTTTCAGGATTTCCTCAACACCAGGAAGGAAATGATGCAGGAGAATACACATTAGGATCTCTATTCCCTTTAATTTTTTTTCTGGCACTGCATGGAATCAAAAGGCCCACCTACGGCAGCAACTTCCGAAACTGCAAAATGTTTACGCTGTGCTTTTAGCAACGGAGATAAACCAACAGCATCCACAAAATCATTTCTCTTTTTGAAGATAGTTATAATTACAGCATTCCACACAAATCTGCAGCATTGAGAGCAGAGCCTTGACTGAAGTAAAATCACACTAGCTTTGGAGGCCTTGTGTTGGGAATACCATCAGGGTTGCAGGCTTTGTTTTATTTCCATTTGATTGCATGTTTGCAACTCTGTGAGCGTGGTCACTTATGGATTTTACCATAAAGGAGAGCATTAGTTGCTGTGGATTCATGGTTGAGGACTTGTTGGAAATGTACTTTCATGACATTGACAGATCACATTATCATCTTCAAGTCATCTTATTTGCTGTTGTGCTAAACACATTGTTCCAGATCTGGAACAAATACTACTTGAGAGATATACATCTATAATTAATGACTTTTGTTCATTTGTATCATCTGATCTGCCAATCAAACAAACCTCACTTCAGTTTCCATCACTACATTACAAAACTATGAACAGACTGAGAACAAAACCAAGGGTAAAAATCCTGTGATTTCTCCCTGGTAGATTGACCCTCCCCTCAGATTAGTACCTCATAGCTCATACAGGGGTGTTGGCAAGACATTAGTCTTCATGGACTATTTAGCAAACATTGTTCAACCTCGGGTTTTTATATATAATCTACTATACTCACATTAGTAAATTGCTTAATGGTAACTAACTGATTTAGGACTTATTCCACCAATGATAGAATATATAAAATAGTTCTTCAAGTCCACAAAATTCAGAGGAAATCAATGAGTAACACAACAGTGATTAATACAAGGTCTGAGTTATTTGGGCATAGGGACCTAGATTGCTGGAATTTCCACCCAGGCTGCTGCAAATCCTGTTGCTACCATCTAGATAGTTCAAAATATTGGTGTTTAAAATGTGAAGGCCACCAAATTTTTGTACTGAATGGTCAGATTGCAACAATGGGTTTGGTTAGTGTACTGGTTAAACTAGTCACATTACTATAAATTGCACATGGTGCAAGAACTGCTTTGGTTGTCCCTCAAATGGAAACAGCAGCCAGTTACACACGAAGAATCAGCAAGTACAAAAGCTTGAATATTTTAATATCCTTTGAAGCTTTAAATACATGTAATAAAAAAAATAAGCCAATTTTAGTTCTGAATATGATAAAATAGAAGCAGAAACGTACATACCACTTACAGTATGGTCAATAAACAAAACGTTTGTAGTTCTATAGTATCCTCCACCCTGATCACACCAGACTTGGGGTGCCAAACATTTTCCAAATCATAGGTGTCACAGCAATGAAATGTATAACATTAAATAGAAAACCATGCTTTCACATGCCTGGAGTTCAAAAGTAATATTAGACTCAAATTGTTAACGGTTTCTGTTTCCACAGATACTGCCAGGCAGTTGAGTTTCTCCAGCACTGTTTATAATTAATAACAGTCTTATTAATGATGCTGGGATGCACACGTAATCCCCCTTCAATTAAAATGATGACTACATCACTGGAATATGGTGAGATTTAGAGATGATGGAGTCTGTGATTTCACTGAAACAGGACTGTTAAATGCTACTAAAATCAATAGGTTGGCTATCAGAAAATCTCCATTTATTTATCAACTTGTCACAAACACAGCTTTGCTCCTCTGGCTTGAAATACACCATCCATGAAAAGTTAATGCTAGCTTTGGGTTATTAATTGAAGAGTGAAATGAAGAGCACAAATTTCATAAAACAAATTCAATGTTCCAGTTGCATAATGTTCAAAAATGTTTTGATACCCCTTGAGCCAAAAACATTTAGCAATTTAACATTACATAACATCTTTCTCCCATTTCAAAATTGAAATGCTGAGATGGTAACTTTACAAAACACTTAGTCAAACCAATGTGTTGCATTAGGAAGTCAATGGATAGTGAATTAGCTCAGTCACAAAGGAAGGATAATGCACACCAATGCCATCCAACTCACTGAGTAACACATTGGTCTATGAATACTGCTGCGGAAGGTGGGCAAACACCGATCCTAGTATTTTGCATCACACATTGCAAGGCATTAGTTAATTTTAGTTTCCAGTGTCAAAGGAACCTGGCTCCCTGTAAACAAGAGAACTTGAGTGTTTATAGACAGGCTTTGCTAATATTGATATGTGTGCATTTAGTACCTGTACACATTCTATTTGGAATTTAAGTATTCAGCAATGAATCTGTTTAGAATGAATAGGTTGCTATTGTACATTCAATACTGTCAACAAAAAATTCCAATATCCATTACTTCCATAAAATGTACATTTAAATTGTGAAACATGACATTCAAACAGGGATCTGCAGTTTTGCAAGTTTGATGACTACAACTTCCAGCAGCTTAATTGTAGGAACTTTTTGATATTCAAAATATCCAAATAAGATGACTAATAACACAAATCTAGTCCGTAAAGGTCCCAGAGCTTGGAGAACTTCTAAAGGAGTTGGTTGAATAAATTTGTCTACATTTCCCCCAAGCGACAAATAAAATTCCTTGGCCAAATAGTTCTCAAAAAAGATAGTATAAAAATGGCCATTCTTTCAACGGCAGGCCCAGACAGTGAACATACAGCAAGCTATTTGGCTGTAGCCTGGAGGAAACCCACAGACCAGCCCAATACTGCCCTCGTACAACATCCACAGATATGCATTGACCAGCAGGTGTTACTGGATGCCCAGCAGGTGTTACTGGATGCCCATCAGGTATACCAACTTATTTCCTCACTTGCCAAGGTCAGTCTTGATCCACATCCGCCTGGTTGACAATCAGATAACTCAGCTGAAACTAGTATTTAAAGCTGCATCCTTCCATGTGACAACCAGGATTTCCACTTAGTAGCCTTTTTAACATGCAAGATTTCTGTACGTATTATCAGCAGAGAATTGTGACAAACCAAATACATTGAGGCAAGGTTTTTTTGGTAGTGGTGGTGGGTAGTTGAGAGAAGGATGGATTATAGAAAACTAAATTCCAAGTCAATTTTAGTTATACACAAGATAAAATTGATAGGTTCTTTATTTTCAAACTATAAACTTCAGGTTTAGTGACAAAATATCACTTAAAAGTAGTTTGCAGGGCAACACAGGATGACGTCACATTTCTGAAATACAACATCAGCACATTTAACTTGCAATTGACAGTATACTACTTTTAACAAATAAAAAAAGCAATTAAAAAAGGCAATACTTAATTACATTCAACATGTTCCAGCATTTCAGTGTTTAATCCCTCCCTGGGAGAGAGATTGCTTAGTATTTATTACAAATAGGTTTATCAGAATTTATCTTTGTACCCTGTGGCTAGAAGCCTTCACAATTGAATAAATGGAAATTGCAGTGAGTTAAAATTTGCTTCTTCTAATAAAGAGAGAAAGGAGCATCAGTTCCCACTATTGCACGAGTTGGCAGGTACTTGAATCCCTTTCCCATAACATGCAGTGCAATATACATTTGGTCTACAATGAGTAGCATCATTTATTTCCCCAAGGTCCAGAGTGCTGTATCCCGACAGATACCATGCAACACGGCATCCATGCACCTGGTGACAGGCAGTGCTCTTTCAGGCAGTCACTTTGTACCCCAGCTGGTGCAATCTTTTTGCCAGCTGCTAAGAAGACTTCCCTCTTTCCCCTAATGTACCACAAGGCTCTACTCATTTCCCCTTCTTTGATCACCATACTGCAAAGTAAAACTTGCACTGTTATCTCCAACGATGGTGAATATTCTAAAACTACCTGTTTTGAATTCAGCCAAAGGGCATACAAATACTGATGAAAATATTCTGGCTGTAAATGACAGCGGGATAAAGCAGCAGCCTGGAGCAATGTCTTGTTACACTGCACTAATATTTGGCCAAAATGTTACCAGTACAGCCTTCAACAGAAATTAAGATTTGTGCACAGAATTAGGTTTGTTCCTGTATTATGGATAGTGTCAAAATAGTTGATGGAAAGTTTGCCATTTTGAATTTTTTTCTAGGGATTTCTCAAAGAACAGATCTCTGGGTTCAGGTTAGTCAAAACAGCTTAAAAACATCATCGATTAGAATGTATGTAATTTTTAAGTTACGTGGGGAGTGTGCTCAGGGAATTCTTCCTGAAGAGGACACAATGTTGCTCACATTATCAGTTGCATCTTAATTGAAATCACTGAGTTAAGAAATATTTCATTTTATTCATAAATGATTTGATTTACAACAGTTCTATGAAAAAAATGCAGAGACTTCGTTAGATACTGTACTGAGAATGATTTACTTGATGAGTCACGATCCCTCAGTGCCCAAGGCAACAGGAGCAGACAGTATGCCAAAATTGTCACCATACAACACAGTACGTATAATTTACACAAAGCAAGTTGGGCTTGCTTTGTCACTTTACCATGGTCTGTGTAATGCCAGATAGCCAGCTGGGATGCTTAGAATGGTTTTCAACAGTGAAGTTACATTAATAGTGCTGGCTGTCACTGTGCAAGCCCAAAAACAGGTCTATGATATGCCCAATGTTGCTTGTCCAAAATGGCTGAAGGAAGTAACCAAGTGGGGAGAAGATAGCGTGCGAACAATTTGCAGATTGTTGAAGCATCATTTTCTCTTCATGCTGGCTGACCTGGTGCAATGCCTCAGAGGAGAAACAGGTTCAGCTGCATGCTCCCAAAACACCGACTCACCTTGACGTGCGGACTATGTGACTGGAGATTTAACTTGTGCTTTCTGATTACATCAAGTTAGGCATGAAAATTTGTTGCTGGCAAGCAAGAATATGTACAACATAGTGGCTTTAAAGGGAGAGCAGGTCTGAAATTTACAAAGACACACACATATATATTTATATATATATATATATTTAAAAAATATTCATTAGACCAGAAAAGTGGTACTGATGAAAGGGCTCTCTCAAAGTGTCAGACTCACTGTCCAGTGACTACACCACCAAGTACTTCTTTCACACTGATTAAAAATATATTTTGAGAATTTTATCTGTCTCTGGAGTGCACAGATTACTCTGATAACACATTTAACAAAGGCTTTTGGCAAAGAAAAAAAAAAATCATACAATTTGCTTTTATTCATCTCCCACCCCCACAACACAGAAAAGCCATCTCATTTTAAAAACTTGCAGTTTCAATGATCTTACTGGATACGAATGATGAACGAGGCGTGTCTGATTTCTTCAGTGAGGCTCATGGTTGATTATAACACCTCTTAATAATCAAGTATGCAGTCCATTGCAAGTCGCATTTATTTTAGTATTTCAGGCAATGCAATAAAACTCACTTTCCTATGGTCACTGCTGATCAATTTTCACTGCTGTCTGAAATGATAGCTAAAGTCGCAGTGAAAATAATTAAAAAAAACAATAAGATAATACATGTATGAATGATCATGTTAATGGTCTGCATCACACGTCACATTTGGGAATGTTTTTCTTTAAAACCCAAACCAATGGCTGACCAGAGAATAAAGAAAATGTCACTTGTTGCTGCTGCTTCATCAGTCACTCTATCACGTTGTGTCCCAGTCAAATTGGGTCTATGGTGACAAAAGAAGCAACTTCTTTCTGGCAGCAGTAATACAGCACCCTTGGTGCGATGTCCTGTTCTTGCTATGCTGCAAATCAGCGTTGCCTAATTTATACTATGACTCCCTTGTGTATAGCAGTGTAGTGTACACAGATACCAAGAGGATCAGACATCTATAGAAAAACTACAACAAGTCATGCATGATGTAAGAAAAGAAATGAAAAAATATCATTTTGGGCCTTGTGGTTCTTTGTCTTTGTTTTTTCTTGTTGAATTAATTACTCTGAGTCGACATCACATCAGTCGACTGTGGATCACAGAAAGCCCCATATCGTCCATAAATGTCTTTTGCTCGGACTGCAAAGTAGTACTTGCTTCCAGATACAAACTGAGTAAGGGTGCAGGCCATGGGAAGTGGCAGTGCCTTTACTTCTCCAATCTTCTTCCACTGGGAAGGAGTTGTAGTAGCAGGATCTTCATGGTAGGCATAGAGATGGTAACTGTCCACAAGTGCACAAGATCGGTCCACTTCAAGGACACTCCAGGACAGGACGATTCCATTTTGACTCTGGACACGGGCTAGCTTTAGGTGGGGTTTCTGGGGCGGTGAGGTATTAGCAGCTTCTGGAGGTAACCGCTGTGGCACTTGGGCCTCGGGGAGTGGTGCTGGATGGATAGGTCGAGGTGGATCCTACATCAAAACAGATAAGAAAGTAATTTCTAATCTCAGATGACTGGGAAACCCCATCCTGTGCTGTCTGCAATATGCAACATTTGAAAACAGTATTCTGGAGTATCTAAAGAAGCTCCATTAGTAAAGAGAACGCGAGAGTGAGAGCAGGAAGACAGACAAAGAAAGAACGAAAGAAATAAACTTTAGGTTGTGAAGAGGTGGAGTTGAAAGAGACTGGTATGGAATATAAATGCTGGCGTAGATCAGTGGGAAAGAAATAGTCGGTTACAGTTCTACAAGTTCAATGCAAAATTCACACAATTAATAAAAAGCAGAATCCAGCAGAATTATTCCCCAATGGCAAATCCCAATAGGAGCTACAGAAGAAATGATGTTTCAACTTGATTAGACCTCACCTAAAGTATACTATTCAATTCAGACCAATGCATCTCAGGATGGATATACAGGCCTTGGAGTGGTTATGGTACAGATTTAACAGAATTATAACAGGAATTAAGAAAGTTAAAATAGGAGGACAGGTTGAATAAACCTGGCTGTATTCTTTGAGTTGAGGAGATTTAGAGATGATCTGGTAAAAAATAAAATAACTCACTTGGTAACAATCTAAAAGTAACACCCAAACAGAGAATGGCCTGAAGAAAGTGAACTCAAATGGAAATTAACAATTGCAGTGAGTCTACCCATGAGAAAGTTTTACTGTCAATGGAGTTGAGCAGAAGAGAAATCATGGAAGGGCTTACATTTTTCAGATAAAATTGGACATGGAAATTGAGATTCCCTCTGTTTCCGTTGTCTCAAATTTTGTGACCAAGGTTATGGTGTTTGCATTCATTATAGTATCTTATGTTGACAGCTTGACCAAATTACTTACGAGTACTGTTAAAAAATTTAACTTAAAAGGTAGGAGAAAATGTTTGCATCATGATTTGAGGTAGCAAATGGTACAAGTAAACAACAGAAAGCCTAAAGTAGTTGGGTTTCTGACCAAAACACCTACTTGACAGCTGGTTATCCTAGCAGTTGTGAAAGCTTTATTATGTAGTTAAGAGAACATATCTTGTTCTCCATCTGAAATGGAACAACTCTGATTAAGAAAGTTAACTTCAGCATGGCAGGTCAGGGACAGTTTAATAACTGTATATAGGGGAAAGGGAAGGTACATCACCTGTACACAAGTCAACACCATTCACAAGGCTACAGAAGTAGCTGGGATGTGTGTAGTGATTCCAGAATTCATTCCTAAACCACGTAGGAATGTGACTAGCCTCACTCGTCACTTCTTTCTTGACTGGTTCACATTCAAGTTTTTGTTGCCATGTGGAGATATCAATTGTGCAGGTCTGCCCGTTTAGCATGGAGTGGGTGTTCAAAGAGGATCGTAATGAGAAAATATAAATGAAAGCAGATTTCTATTTTTCTCCAATGTACCTTGCCTTCTGGTCAATGTAGGTCATCTCAGTTTCAGAAGTTTATGCTATGTATCATCCACATTATTGCTAAAATTTGTGATGAACGTGAACCAGGGCTCAATGATTTACAAGATTACGATGTTCTTGGTCGAAAGGGATTTTTTTTTTTTGCAGAGTAACAGAAAACTGAATTTACTGTTTCTCTTCAGATATAGGTGCTAAATGGCCCAATCCACAATCCTGATCGTGGCTAACCCTCAATTATTAGATAGTTGGTTCCTATGCCTGAATACCAATACTTAGAAATCCTTACCTGTGAAGGCCGGTGATGGACTGTGAACTGAGGCATATTTGGCATCACAGGAATAGAGATTACATTGTTCACAATGTAAGATGTTTGAGGCAGCCTGACTGACATACCTGCTGCATAAAAAGCAACATTATTTTGGAATATAGCACATACCATCATTCAACATTGGGTTGGGGAGCGGGAGGAAGCAGGGTGAGGGACTACGACAATGACTATCTAGGCATCATAAAGAGGCTTTTCTACTGCAGAGGAATTTAAATTTGGAGCATATTTTGTTATGGTCTTTGAAAATAAACACCTAAAGAATTACTTTGGCCAGCACTGAAGATTAGGCAAGGTAAAGACTGCAGTAAGTTCTCATCTAATCAATAAATACACTATACGCACTGCAATAATATTCCAAGGAACAGATGATTATGATGGATTTAGCATTAGAGCTGTGAAAGTAATACAGCGGAGACTTTCCCCAGTCCAGGATACTAGATGCTGGTTTCCAGGTCCCTGTTCATCAAAATAACAAAATACCTACATAACCTATCAAAAAGTAAATGTCGCTGATAAGATTCCTTACATTCTGGTTCTAATACATAACTGAGAATTTATATACCTGATGGTTACAGAAATGCACAGAATAGCATAACTGTAAGAGACCACTAACGAGGGTCTGTTGCTCTTCTCAAAATCCAACAGTTCACATAAACTTACAAAAACGTCAAATAATAAAATCCCAACTGGTCCATATGGCCTGACCTATACTTTTGTGTTGAATATCAGCTACTATTTTGTAAAATGACAATGCAGATTTAAAAGATCAGATTATTTGCTCCCCTTCCTATTTCTAAGGGTGAGTTAGGTGACATGCAATCTCCTAGTAAAGATGAAAATTCAGATGAAATGCTTAGTTGAAGGTATTGTTGCCGATTCTCAGATCCACTGTCTCTCTCATACCTTTGCTCCCTCTTCACTTGAATTTACAAGGTGGAGTATTATAAAGGCAGATTAATGTTCACAAAGATATACTGTTATGACAAAGCATAAAGGGAACTTTTCTCAAATATGACAACTTGCAAAATGCATTGTTTTTATTGCTGATTTTTTTCCTAGATATTTGGTCAAATGCTCATTAATCTTAGAATCGCTAAAGGTGTGGAAGCAGGCCATTCAGCCCAAGTCCACACCAACACTCTGAAGAGCATCCCACTCAGACCCAACCCCTACCCTTTCCCTGCATTTCCCATGGCCAATCCACATAGTCCAAAGATATGCAGGTTGTGGGAGGAAAACAGAGCACCCGAAGAAAACCCATGTAGACACGGGGAGAAAGTGCAAACTCTACACAGACAGTCGCCCAAGGGTGGAATCGAACTCGCATTCCTGGTGCTGAGGGGCAGCAGTGAGCCGTCGTGCCACTCCACTCTGCTAACCACTGTGTCACCATGCTCTCTCCAACAGCTGAGTGACAAGAGTATTAGTTGCTGTGGACACTGAAATGCAAGCAACCGCAGCAGCCAAAATGAATATTTCTCCCCTGTTTGCCCTCAATGAATATTTCTCCTCTGTTTTTACTGCGGAGAAAGATATGACTTGGGAAGTTAGTGGCATTATCTTGGGGACAGTATATCACAGTAGACGTGGTGTTGGAAGTATCAGAATCTATGAAGGTGGATAAATCTCCTGATCCTGATCAGATATATCCAAGAACCCTGAAAGAGGCTACAAAAGAAATTGTGGGGTCTCTGGATGATATATTTGCATCATTGCTAGCCATGGGTGAGGTCCCGGAAGACCGGAGGGCAGTGAATGTTGTGCCCTTTTTCAAGGGCTGCAAAGAAAAATCTGGGAATTACAGACCAGTAAGCTTAACATCTGTGGTAGGTAAGTTACTTGAGAAGATTCTGAGAGATAAAATATACATGCATTTGAAAAGACAAGGTTTGATTAGGAGTAGTCACATGGCTTTGTGCGCAGAATATCATGCTTCACAAATTTGTTTGAGTTCTTTGACGAAGTGACCAGGAAGGTTGATGAGGGCAGGGCAGTAGACGTAGTCTATAGGGATTTCAGTAAGGCCTTTGATAAGGTTCCACATGGTAGGCTGCTCTGGAAGATTAGATCGCATGGAATCCAGGAAGAGCTGACAAACTGGATACACAATTGGCTTGATGGTAGGAAGCAGAGAGTAATAGTAGAAGGATGCTTGTTGGGCTGGATGCCTATGACTAGTGGTATGCCTCATGGGTCTGTGCCAGGCCCATTACTGTTTGTTATCTATATTGATGATTTGGATGAGAATGCACAAGGGACGATTAGTAAGTTTGCGGATGACACTAAAATAGGCGGTATCGTGGACAGCGAGGAATGTTATCAGAAGTTGCAGCAGGATCTTGATCAGCTGGGGAAGTGGGCAGAGAAATGGCAAATGGAGTTTAATATAGATAACAGGTGTTGCATTTTGGAAAGGCAAATCAAGGTAGGAGTTTCATGGTGAATGGTAGGATCTTAAGAAGTGCAGTGAAACAGAGGGACCTTGGAGTTCAGGAGCACAGTTCTCCAAAAGTGGAGTCACAGGTAGACAGGGCAGTGAAGAAGGCTTTTGGCACACTGGCCTTTCTCAGGCTGGGCACGGAGTACAGAAGTTGGAAGTTATGCTGCAGTTGTACAGGACGTTGGTGAGGCCACACTTGGAATGTTGTATTCAGTTTTGGTCACCTTGCTATAGGAAGGATGTTATTAAATGGGAAAGAGTGCACATTTACAAGGATGTTGCCAGGACTCAAGGGACTGAGTTATAGGGAGAGGTTCAATAAGCTAGGACTTTCTTCTTTAGATTGTACGAGACTGGGGGGGGATCTTATAGACGTGTACAAGATCATGGAGAAGCATGGATAGGGTGAATGCACTCAGTCTTTTTCCCAGGGTTGCGGAATCGACGGCTAGAGAGCATCGGTTTAAGGTAAGAGGGGCAAGAATAAATGGGAACCCAAGGGGCAACTTTTTTTTAAAAAACACAGAGGGTGGTACGCATATGGGATGAACTGTCAGTGGAAGTGGTTGAGGCAGGTACGTTAACAACATTTAAAAGGCGGTTGGATGAATACATGGATAGGAAAGGTTTAAAGGATATGGGGCAAGTGCAGGGAAATGGGGTTAGCGTGGATGCACATTTTGGGCAGCATGGACCCTTTTGGGCTGAAGGGCCTGTCTCCGTGCTGTAGGACTCTATGAAACAAAATCAGCAGTCACTTAGACAAGGATGGATTTATTTAGTAATACCAGCGCGCATTTGTTAAAGGCAAAAGAAGTGTTGAAACAAATTTGATGAGTTTTTTGATAAAGTAACAGAGTTTTGGAGAGGGAAATACAGTTGGTAAACTGTACATGGACTTCAATAAAAGGTCTTGGTGCCACATAATAGGCATGACAGCAAATATTAACGTCCACAGAGTCAGAAAGACAGAGTCAGTATGGATGCAAAGTTGGCTGAAGGAAGACATACTTTGGGGTTTCCAGAGGTTGTTACAAGGACCAAAAAACTTTTTCTGTATGTATATACACGTGATAACTCCGACTTGGGCGAAAATTTAAAAATTTACAATAACAAATCTTGGACATGTTGTGGTGATCCACTTCAAGAGGACAGACTCCAAATGGACAAATATATAGCAGATGGAATTTACTCTAGATGAATATAAATTTGTACATTTTGGCAGGAAAAACCTGAAAAGTCAGTGAAACTAAACGATACAATTCTAAAGTGGATGGTTGAAGGAACACAGACATATTCAGAAAAGTAGTTAAAAAGGCACATGGGATCTGGTGTTTTACTAACAGAGGCATGAAGCATAAAAGCAAAGGAATTACGGTGAACCTGTATGAATCACTGTCTCAGTCACAACTGAAACAGTGGGCTGGATTTTTGGTCTGAGATAAACAGCTCAAGTTGGGAAACTACGTGGTAGGCAATCGAGACTGAAGGGCTAATATAACCATTTTATAATTCTACTTTAGAAGACAGCCCATTTAATTCTTAGATCTGGTTTTCAATCCAGTCCAAGTGGCACACCTCTTGGCTGACTGGTCAGGAAATTAATTTTCAAAATGGAATAAAACCAATTGCCATGAATTTTTACCCTCTCCAGGTGACAGTATGAATAAGGCATTCTGGATAAGCTTCCAACTGCTCATGACTTCATAAAAGCTGTTTGCCAGATGAAAAGTCTCTGCCATGTTGGAATCATCATTGGAGTGGAGGAAAGCCAACATGGCTTGTCTCTGGGCAGGAAAGACATTGGCACCTCATGAATTATCTGGAATATGGCATGCACTTCCAGTCCACAAACCAGATTTACTGCCATTGGTGATTCTTGGCAATGCTTTCCTGTTAATATTTAGTGCTGTACATTGCCACATCCATAATTCCTGCTCAACCTTGCTATGACATCAAAATACTATTACAGGTTCCATCACAAGCTGGCTCTTCAAATGTTGTTTCAGAATTCTTGCTTCCGATATAACCAATTTGGTTAATAAAGTAAACTCTCAACTACTGACAGTGTGGAATGGCTACAAGCCATTTACTAGCTTGTTTAAATAAACATTGACTATTCTTGGGAAATAAGAAGATAATGAAAAACAAAAATTGGGGATGATCTTTGAGACTGAGACTTCTCCTTACAGTAAACAAAAAGAAAGAAAATGAAACACGAGGAGTTTCCTTACCACTAACAGGTGGCTGAGGACTGGGCTGTCGCATTGCCTGGCTCTGCGTTGTGACAGCCCGCACTGGATTGTGACTTTGGTATGGAGGAGGAGATGTGAAAACTGTGGGGTTCGAGCTTCCTCTTTGGAGAGTTGGAAGTGGTGGTCTCGCAGGGGCCTGTGATGTCGGTGGAGGCATCTGAGGACGTTGGTGCTGAAGTACATTAGCACTTGTTTGCCCTTTAAAGAGAACACATTGAGGATTTTCCCATGATTGCTCTACCTTTTAATAGGAGCTGATTTGTAAAGCCAAACCCCATCTTTCACAACCCCAGAACATCCTTAAATGCTTTAAAGCCAATCAAGTGCTTTGGAGTCTATATAGTAGCAGAAACATAGGAAAAACAAGACAGTTTGCGCACAGTGACCTTCCATGAACAGTAGTGTGATACCACTTTTGATAACAATATTCTAAAAACAGTGCTAGCACAAACATGCTAAGACACCAAGTGCAATGCTTTTAGATGCACCATGTAATCAAATAAGAGTCAACTTTTTCATAGTGTGTAAATGCAAGATACTGAAAATGCTGATAATGTCTGTATAATAGAGCCATCTACTTCCTTCACTTCATTAAGGTTAAGGAAAAAAGTTTGTATTTCTAATGCATCTTTCCCAACTTCATACATCCCAAACCATTTTACAGTCAACATACTTTTGAAACGCAGTCACTTGTGATGTAGGAATCACAACAACCAATTTTTGTGTGGTGAACTCTTGCAAATAGTAATGACTAGATAATCTGCTTAGTGATGTTAGTTAAGGGATAAATATTGACCAGGAAAGTGAAGAAACCTTCTGTACTCTTCAAATACTTCCATGAGATCTTTTGTGTCCACCAGTGCTGTTTAACATCTCATCCTAAAGATGCAACATTTGATCTTGCAGGCCTCCCTCAGTCCTCTACCTAAGCATCAGTTTAAATTATGGCCAATAACAAGTTTCACAAGTGCAACTATTACCAAACCAGATTCCCAGCCCTTCTCAATCTTACCACTGAAGCTGGGCATGATTAGAAATTGTGATAATTAATACTGATTCCAGTACCCGTTTGTACTCTACCTGCAGACACACTTTGCACACTGGTGGTCTGTACTGTCAACCCAGTGGTGCCTAGGCTGCTCTGTGGTGTTGGCAAATGGGACTGCACTGAAGTCTGCTGTGGTGGAACTCCCTGGGAAGTTGCAGGAGGTCTGATCTGTGGCTGGACAGTGGGTGGAGATGTCTGAAGTGGAGTTGTTCCTGTTGTTCCTTGGTTAGCAGCCTGATTATGTTTCCTGGCATCTGCACAAAGAAATAGATTACCAACCATTCCAAACAGAGGCTTTTGCGCAAATTAATTTAAAAACGTTGTAAAAATAAGAGAATCTTATGTTTTCAACATCCAAGCTGAAATTTCATTTAAGGCTGCCTTCTGTAAATTATCCTAATGTATCATTTCAGATCTCCCATTGAACTCAAAGATTCTTATTGATATAATGTGTTCTCTCCTTCATTCAATCTGATGAACGTTTATTAGAAGACATTTGGAAACTAAAGGAAAGTTGGAAGTCACTTAGCATCTAAAACCTGTCACCATCCAATTAAATCACGATTAATTAGTCTATACTTCTGTATACCTTTGGATAACTAAAAAATCTTAGACTTAAAATTAACATTTGATCATGCATCCATTGCTATTTGTGGAAGAGCATCCCAAAATTCTGCCACCTTGCAAGTGTCTAAGTATTTTGTAATTTTATTCCATAAAGAACTGGGTGCAATTTTCAGATTATGGTCTCCATCCCAGTCCGACAGTGACCAACCAGCATGACATGTTTGTCTCCAACTATCCTGTCTCCCGAATATTTCGTCTGTCTAAAATCCGGGGCATACAACTCAGGTATTGCATAATCTTTTGTCGCAATGTGGAGTCCAGATCTCATTCTGTAAATGGATACTGCACTCTCTCCAAGGTTATTAACATGGAGCAATTCACAGTACAATAGGTATGGTAGCCAGGCTTTTGCAAAAAAGTTAGAGCATAACTTCTACTAGCTTGTGTTCCACATCTCCAGATATAAAAGCCAGCAGCCCATTAGCCTTCTTGATTGATCATTGAAATGTAATGAACAGGTGCAGAAACAATATTAGGAGCTCCTGTAGAACCTTCACTATTTTCCACTTTTCAGCATTCATAAAGTATATTACTTTTGAACTTGTCTATACCTCAGTTTTGCCAATTCCTTTACTATGTCAGTAAGTCTTTTACACTTCCAACTATACTAATTATAATGCTACCCATTTTTGTCTCATCATTAAATTTGGATATATGGCTTTCTATCCCCCAGAAGTGGTGTTGTAGGCCCAACACACACTTGCAATAAAACACTTCCTTCCAAGTAGAATATCTGCCCATTATCTTTCCTCAGTGTTCTATCACCAGCCAATTTTCTAACTAGGTCAATAGCTTTCCTTCAATTCCATGAGCTTCAACTTAAGCTAAAAGTCTCATATGATAGACTTTATGAGTCTTTTGGAAGTTCACATAAATAACACCAATAGACTTTCTCCTGTCCATTAATTTGATCAGTTTTTCAAAAAATGGCATTTCATATTTGTCATCCAAATTAGTTCTTGCTGATCAGCTGAAAATCTTCAATATGTATAGTCAATAGAACTTTAAATTGTAAACCTTACTAACTTCCAACAAGAGATTGGTCTAGGCTATCAGCAATGTTCGTTACCAAATCCAATACAGCTTCTTCCTTTGTTGACTCTATGGCATATTGTTCTGCATACTATCCCAGCCAGATTCAACAAATTCACCACCTTCTGGTATGTGCTAGTCTGCTTGCCATAATCTGTATGGAAGTTAAGATCTCTTTGTTGCACATTTGTCTAATCTCAGAATTTATGTAATCTACCATTACGTAACTGCTACTAGGGCGCTTATACACAAATCAACTAGATGTTAAATCCATTTCTATTTCTTAATTCTACCTCTTGACATACACTCTTGAAAAAAATGTAATTCTTAAGCACTAAAGCTCCTCTAGAATGCTGAACTGAAGTTAGTGGTTGAACAGAGAACCAGAGTACAGCTAAAATGCAACACCATGACAATCTCTACTGAAAGCATGAATGAATAATATAACTATAAAGAGAAGGTAATCCATCCAAAGAGGAGACAAATATTTATTCCTTCCTTTAACAAGTATTTACACCATAACCAGATAAGCAGCTTAGCAAGTTAACCAAGAAGATGTATCAATTAAAGATGAGGCTTGCAGATTTGACTCTCAAGTAATGTTACATCACATGCTAAATATAGTAAGTTGATGGAGGAACATTGCAAGGATCCATACCTTGTGCAGACACATCATCTTCATCATCACCCGTCAGGTCAATGACAGCTCCCATGTCACTTCCTCCTGTCTTTGCACTCTGAAAGAAAAAACTGCTGTTTTGCGATGGCATTCCTCTGGTCATGATGGGCTACATTAACATGTGGTCACATCACTACATACAGACCTCTGACTGGTATGAATTGTATTATTGCTTTTCATCTTCTACTAGTTCATTTTAGAAGTCCAGTTCAGTGATTGTTTCATTCTTCCATACACTTCAACACTAATTAACATTGCATCAAATCATGAAATAAAACACTCACACAGCTGTGAATGCCTAGAATTCTACAAGTCTTACCTGTCCATTGTTAATGAGATGGTGATTAAAGCATGACTAAGGATTAAACCAAACACTGGTGCAAATTTATAGCTGTGGGAATAGAACTATTTTCCTGTTTGTTAGCGTCCCTAGAACTGGAACTCCCAATGTTTTCTGCAGCTCCAGTATTTATAATCAAGGCACGTCAGAGGCAACCCCAACCCAAATATCTTGTTGATGGAGGTCAGAACTCCAGCAATCCCATGAGCAGCAGATCAGAAGTGTCACGGAAAACTCAAGCAAAGACTTGTGGCAGATATGCTAGTTAGAATTCAAAACTGAATCACAACCAAATAAGGCCTGCATATAGCTACAGCAGCCTCTCAAATCTAATTGATCTAAATGGCAGCATTGGTGCATGCACGAGCCTCTACATGGAACAGAAGGAGGAGGGGCACATTGTAATTATTTTTTTTAAACCAACTGATAGAAACACCAGATGTGCTTGCTTTAATATTCGGGGTTAGATTGATTCCCAGACTCTCTATCGTGGTGATACTCAGTTCTACCTTACACTGCAGCCCTTCCATCTCCTCCAATACCTCTCTTGGTAAGAAATGTTTGTTCAACATACAGTATTGGACAAGCAGAAATTCCTACTCATTAAACACTTGAAAAGACAAAAGCCATTGTCTGAAACTTCATCCATGTTTTGTATACTCCGGACAACTCCAATGCTCTCTTGCACCATCTGTAAATGCAAGGTCATCCAAAACTTTGTTCCCATACGGATGTGATTAACCTATTCAGGCGTATTATGGCAGACTGATGGGACACGTGGGATTTGAACCTGGACTTTCCCAATTCATCACAAAACAGTGAGTGCTCTGTAATTGCTTAGATTTTCAAATCCCTCCAAGGCCTCATTCTCTCTACCCACCACCCTTGTCCTATAGCCCTACAACACCAAACCCCTCCACAACTCTCTGATCCTTGAACTTCAATTTTGGCCTTCTGTGCATCATCAATTTTCATAACTCCATCATTGGAAGAAAAACTCTGTCTGAGGCTTAACCTGTAGAATTCCTTCCCTAAACTCCTTCTCTTTAAAACACTCCTTAAAACCCTTCTCTTAATCTCTAAAATGGCTTGATGTCAAATAATATTGTCCCTGCTAAGTGATTTGGATGATTTGTGTGTGAAAAGGCACTACCCATATACGATAAAAGTTGTACAGAAGTTGAAAGCGTGAAAAAACTCTGAAAAGGAGAAAAGAGAATCAATAGAGATAAACTGAGCAAATAGGGAATAAACAACACTGAACTATGCACACATCATGAGATGGATTCTGCAGGGAGTTCTCCCATTCTCTTAAGGTGTCCTCAATGAGTTCAGCAGAATAGCCACAGAAAAAAATAAGGTCACACAGGGGAATTTACTTTGATGCACATACAATTGTTTGGGAATGGAATCAGCAACAGCAAATTCCCTGATCCATGGCAATCAGCAACAGCAAATTCCCTGATCCATGGCAATCAGCAACAGCAAATTCCCTGATCCATGGCCTGTCTTGTAATAATAGATTACTGGTCATCTTCATGATGTTGGTTTTATTAGAAGATTAAGGTTACAGTAACCTCTGGTCACATAGCTGACAGTCAGGGGAACAACAGATATTTAACAAAGCATCCAAAAAATGGGCTTTCTAGGAATGTACTGAAGTGTTAGACAATTGCTCTAATTTATTTCATTTGATAGCGATTTCATAGAAATAAAGTTAATTGTAAAAGGAACAAAACCATGTCTGAGCAACATAGTCAAAAAAACTAGTAGTGCAACATTTCTTTATTTTTCATATTACAGTAACAGGCTAATTTGGCACTGGAAACCTTTGACAAGTTCTCCAGCTAACTTCCAGCTAGGCACTGTATGGAGTCAGGCAATTATAACTTCTTCCTCAGGTTAGGTCTGTTGAGATCACCAAAAGAAATGAAAAAAAAATCAAGAGAAATAACAAATATAAATTGATGGGAAGCAAAGTTTTCAAGACAAAATCCTGACTGCAGCATTTATGCTTTTCCTACACCAACACACACATTACCATTAGTAATAGACTTTTGCATATTTACTACATATGCATTGAGTTTGTAGATTTGTGTATGTTGCAGAACAGGCTACCATTTCTGACAGATGGATTAGAGTGCTAATATGCAGCACAAAAAAGTGCTTTTGTACTTGCCCTTCAGTTGCAAGTTGACCCCTTGTACTTGCTTTTAACATGCTTAAGGTTGCAGGATTGGGGAGGTTTAGTGGTGTCCTTCAGATCCCTTTTTTTTAAAAATCCAGACACTACTTCTCTTGCTTTCTCATCTTGCATTTAAGTGCAGGCTTAACCTTTCAATGGCCAAGACTGGAAATACAGATTGCTTAAAAACAGTTCATTAAGGATAACTAAATGCGACCAATGCAGGAAGTTTCCACCGACCAGGGAATCCAGAACCGGGAGTCACAATTTAAGGATATGGGGTAGGCCATTTAAGACAGAAATAAGGAGAAATTTCTTCATCCAAAGAATGATGAGCCTTTAGAATTCTTTGCTGCAGAAAGCAGTTGAGGCCAAAACATTACATGTTTTCAAGGTGTCCAATATAGAGCATGGGGAGAATTGGGTACTGAGTTGGACGATCAGCCATGATCACACTGAATGGCGAATCCGACTCAAAGGGCTGAATGGTTTACTCCTGCTTCTATTTTCTATGATTCTGGAATTGGTGCCTTTGTTGTTTGTTCGCCATACAACTGAACCAAACTAAAGTTCATTTGGTGTAGAAGGTTAAGAAAACTTGAATGGTTTCCCTCTGCTCCCGACATCACAGCTTCCATAAAATTCATCCAAACTACATTTCCAGAACAGGATAAAAATTTCAGAATATATAATGTGTTTAAGAGTCCAGCAGCAAATCTGCACCCCTGATTTGTGAAAGCAGAATTATAAAAACAATGCCCAAAACAAAGTCTCACTGATCCCAAGGTATATAAATTGCAAGTAGAACAGATCAGCGAGGCTGATCCCCAGTGAGCATTTGATTTTGATTACATTTTGTACCAACATGTTAATTTTTAAGTGATCATGCTCGCAGACACCCCAAACCCCTTTGCTTCTCCAACATTTCCACACACTTGCCATTTTAGAAGAAAATTCGGTTAACCCTCATTTCAAAACTGGCCCCACATCCCACTTTGAACTCTACAGACCCTGGTTTTACCTACTAACTTAAAATTACATGCCTTTCTGCTCCTATCTACTCACTTTAACGTGCCTCAATACAACGTCATCTCCAAAATTGGATATGCAATTTCATTCTTTTATCCAAATCACTGATGTATTTTGTGAAAATTTGAGAAGCTAGTATGAATTATCTGGGGTACACTCCCATTCTTCTAAAGCATTGCCTTTTATTTCTATACTCCAGGCCCTATCTCCTAAATAATAAACGACCTATGCTACAAGGTTATCACCTTTTCCTCACACTCATTCCTATTCAAATCTCACATGGACCCTTATCAGCTGCCTCTGGAAGTTCACATACAGAACATCAATAGATATTTCCTTATCCACCTTATTAGCGATCCCAAAGAATTCAATTAGTTTATGCAGATAGGATTCATCCTTTAATCAAGTCTCCAGCACAAAAAAACTGGCCAACCAGTCCATGCTGCTGCTTATGCTCCACATGAGCCTCCTTCCACTTACTTAACCTAACTTGGTCTGCATATCCCTTCTTTATTCAAATAGCTTGCCATGCTATTGACATGATGGTGAACTCCTCATTACCACTTTAATTGAAGAAAATTCTGAAGATCCTATTGGATTCATTAATGCATATAACCTCTAGTTTTAGCCTTCTTCTGATCAGCTTACTTTTGTACAACTACTTGGTGATAATTGTGCAAATGATCAATGACTCCTTCTCCAATAAATTTTCAGTTATTTTCCTGCATTAGAGTGACAGGCCTGTACATTTGCTGGTTTCTCACCCGACTTGACAGAAAGCTTCTACTTTTCCAATCTGAAGACGTCTCCCAAATCCAGGGAGCTTGAAAACATTTATGACTAACATGTCTGAAATTTTTGATTACTTTAGTACACCAGGAAGCCAGGTTCAGAAAACATACACCTTCAATTTGTTTACTCCATTACTTCATTTTTTTTTTAAAAGCTCTAATTCCTTGCCTTAAACTTATGCTGCGGTCCCCTTCTATTGCAGATATTTTGCCCTCTTCCCTCAGCATGAAAACTGATACAAAATATTCATTTAACAAGCATGCCATCTTCTTATCTATTATCAACCTTACTGCAACTTTTTAAAAAAATAAACCCACATTCTTCCATATTGCTCTCCAACTCAATATCTTTATAAAACCCTCCGTTAGCTTTAATACCACTTGCAAATATTTAATATAGCCTTTTTGTATTTTCTTTTGGAAGCATTCATGCACGTGGTCCAAAACTATAATATTTCCACAGTGGCATGGACACAAACTATATTGAAAGTAGATCTCTCTTAGCTAGTTGAAAAAAGGAACTGACCCACTAAGGTTGAAACTTACGGTCCATTATTGCTTATAATCACTTTTCTTGAATTTGGTAACATCATTGGCAGTTAATATTATATGCAAGTGCAAAAAGGTGCTTAATTTACATTTTTAAAAGTGACCAACGTGTCTTTCGTACATTCAATTACAATAAATCAGATGTTGCAATATTTTATAGGGAC